CGCCGCATGAATGAGCGTTGTAAGATTTTTTATTTTCAAAGATCTATTTTTAGCTTGTCAACGTCAAGGTGGAAGAACGGTCGCTGACGGTCATTCTTTGACTAACACTGCCGTCACACCTGCAGCTCTCACACAGACCCGAGCAGAATGTACTCTTTTGACATTTGTCATGTCGATGTGGTGTCTCATTTGGATGCACTTCTTGCATCAGTTTATTTCTGTCTCTTTCTTTCTATCTTTCTTTCTTTCTTTCAGAACGGTTGTTGGTTGAACAGCGATGGCTCAAAGTTTGACTTTGATGGCTGGGGCCCCGGTGAGCCAAACAACTACGGGGGAAAGGAAGGCTGCATGCAAATGCACAACTTGGGTACAATCTCCCTTTATGAGTCTGTTTGTGATTTTTGAGAAATCCTTTTTTGAATTTAACAAACTCTCCAAACCCTAATTAAGAAAAGAAAATAGCATTGCATATTTCTTTGGTTAACCCTTGGATCAAACATGGACGTGGCACAGAGTGTAGCTTTAAGTCTTTGTGTTGTGTTTTATTACAGAGGGCCAACCTATCAACGACGCCCCCTGCCGTATCAAGAGTGCTTACATGTGTGCCAGGAGCCTTGAAGTGAAGGATGACTGAAGCAACATCTCCAGTGATCCTGATGCAGTGTCACTTCATCGCCATTCTATGACGTTTCTGATTCATTCAAACATAATTCAATAAAGCATTATATTGAGCATTCAATTGGACCTCTTTTTTTAACAGAATTTTTAACAAATCCAACAGACTGTCTTTGAGATATTTTGCGTTGACTGAAGTTCATCAGAGACTTGTGAGCGTGACTGAAAACCGATGGAGCTCAGTACTTAATGTTGACTGCACATTTTACTGTACATGCACCAGTTAGTATTCGCTAGTATAGCTCACATCCCTGTATGCTATACAATGGGTTTCTCCCCAGTTCTACTCCTTTTTGGGAGAGGTTGCCCTTCCTGGTCCACCTCAACCCACACAAACTTTTCTGAGCCCGTTTTCGACGCTCCAGTGGTTTGTTTACTTTGATCCTCCTTGAATAAACATCACAGGACATGCCAGTGTTACTTAATAAGTATCACCACCTACAATACAAACACTGATGTTACATTTAAAATGTGCAGTCAACATTAAGTACTGAGCTCCGACTACTGTCAAAAGCCTGCTTTGAATACTGCATAATCCTGCATAATGACTATTACTGAAACGTGGCTAACATCAGATGTACCAGAGCCTTTGGTCGAAATTGAAGGTTTCAGCCATATCCGCGCTGACAGAACTGAGGACTCCGGGAAGAGCAAAGGAGGCGGGCTCTGTGTGTATGTCAATGACAAGTGGTGCAGGCAGTACACAGTTCGGGGAACTGTCTGCAACAAGGACGTTGAACTACTGTGTGTTAGCCTAAGACCTTTCTATCTGCCCCGGGAGTTTGGAAATATTCTGATATGTTCAGTTTATATTCCCCCTGATGGTAACGCATCCAGGGCAGCTTCTCAAGTGGCAGACTGTGTACAAGAGCAGCTTCAACGCACACCAAACGCCCCCATCTTTATTATGGGAGATTTTAACCACTGTAATCTGAACACTGCGCTCCCAGGTTTTGAACAATATATAAAATGCGACACCAGGAAGAGAAAAACATTGGACAAATGTTATGGATATATCAAGGGTGCATATTCAGCTTCCGCAAAACCCCCTCTGGCAAATTCTGACCACAACACTATCCATCTGATCCCCATTTACAAAACAGCTCTTAAGAGCAGCGAGCCTCTTGTTAAATCTGTCAATGTATGGACTGAAGAGAGTATTGACACACTGAAAGGCTGCTTCTTATGCACAGAATGGGACACTTTTTCTGAGGAGAATGATGTAGACTGTGTTACAGAAGTCACCACAGACTACATTCATTTCTGCATTGATTCTGTGATCCCTAAAAAGACAATAAAAGTTTACCCTAACAGTAAACCTTACATCACAAAGGAGGTAAGAGACTGTATCAACAGGAAAAAACTTGCATTCAAGAATAAGGACCATCTACAACTAAGAGCAGTACAATCAGACTTAAACCCTGAAACTTAAAGACTGAGAGAGGCAAAACAACAACACAGGGCAACACTGGAGGATAATCTACAAAACATGAACAACAGGAAATTATGGGACTCTGTGAAAACTATGACCAACATGAAATCCACTAAAAAATATTTATATTTTGGGGATGAATTATCCACAGCAAATGAACTGAACATTTTCTTCAAGAGGTTTGATAAACAAGATTTCTCAGCAGAGTGTAGTAGTGTTTTGGAGAACATTCCCACTGTTGGGGCAGATAGGATTTTAATTGACCCCAAGGATGTGGAAAATGTTTTTAAAAGTGTCACTGTCAACAAGACGGCATTTCTGCGTTCTTATTAAAGATGTGTGCAGAGGAACTAACACCTGCTTGGTGTCCCATCTTTCACAGGTCAGTAGATACAAACACTGTACCAGCAATGTGGAAAAAGGCAGTCATCACACCTATCCCACAAATTCCATGTCCTAAAGACTGTAATGATTTTAGACCAGTGGCTTTAACTCCTGTTGTAATGAAATGTATGGAAAAACTTATGGTGAGCAGGCTGAAGTCGGAGGTAGGCCCACAGCTAGACCCATACCAATTTGCATACAGACAGCATAGAGGTACTGATGACTATCACTAGCTTAGTGCACATGGTCACCAAACATCTGGAGAATCCCAAGGCCTACGCTAGATTACTGTTTGTTGATTTTAGTTCAGCGTTTAACACCTTGCAGCCTCACATTCTACTTAACACATTAAATCAACTTAGGGTCAATCCATTCATCATTAAATAGTATCATTCATTTCTCACTAACCGCACCCAGCAAGTCAGAGTGAACAGAACTGTGTCAGAGCTCACAACCATCAGCACTGGAGCGCCCCAGGGGTGTATTAGCTCACCAGTGCTGTTCACTCTCTACACAAATCAGTGTACCAGCAACAGTGGAAACGTACATGTTGTTAAATTTTCCGATGACATGGCCATCCTGGGCCTTATGCAAACAGACTCGGACATTCACATATATACATCAACAATCAGCAACTTTGTGCAGTGGTGTGACGAACACCATCTCCTCCTCAACACAAAAAAACAAATGAGATGGTGTTCGACCCTCGGTCTCTTGGCGACCACTCACCAGTGGTCATCCATGATCACACCATAACACAAGTAGAGTCCTACAAATATCTCGGCATCCACACAGACATTAAACTAGTGTGGAAGTCCCAGGTGGAAGCTGTCTGCTTCCAGAGTGCAACAGAGGCTTCACTTTCTGAGAAGACTCAGGACCTTTGGTGTGTCCCGGGAAGTGCAGCTTCTCTTCTACCATGCAGTAGTAGAGAGCCTCCTACGATATGGTATCTCTGCATGGTTTGGAAATTTGACCGTTCAGTCAAAGGCCCAAATCAACAGACTCACAAAGACAGCCATGAAAATCATGGGAATTCATCAACACCCCAGCCTCCAAGACATCTTTCAACAAACCATAATCAGACAGGCACAAAAAATTATCTCAGACCCATCTCATGTTCTTCACCCTGAGTACCAGCTCCTCCCCTCAGGCCGACGATACAGGGTTCCCCTGAGGGAGAAACAACCATTTCAGAAATACCTTTGTTCCCTTGTCCATCAAAGCCCTCAACAGTACCTAAGCTGTAATGTGTGTATACTGTACATGTGCATGTATGAGGTGGTGAGTGTGTGTGTGAAGATGTGTAGATGTACCTGCACTGTTATCACTTTTCATAACTATTACATATTTATGGTTTTAGTAATTCACTTGTATGGAATTTAATGATTATTTAACTGACATGTTTTACCGACGAATGAATGTATTTTGTTATTTTTTGTAACTGCATCAGAGCTCTGTGAAGTCCAAGACAAATTTCCCACTGGGACAATAAAGTTAATCTTAATTCTACGTCGTCTTCAAGCGTATCCATTGTGCTTCACGGCGTTCAGATGGGATCACTCTAAACACAACTCAAAACACAGGAAACTCTGAGAAAATTATCTTTAGAACCATCCCAAAAAAATTAGACTTTGTAAAAGGACTTGACCTTGTAAAGTTCTTTTCTAGTCTTCTGACTACTCAAAGTGCTTTTTACAATTTAGACCACACCCACACAATCACAATCCTGGTTGTCCATCAGCGGTCCGGCTGACTCCTGTTTCCCCCTTGGCGGTCCAGCTGACTCCTGGTTCCCCCTTTTGGCCTTTTCTTTAAGAAATATAGTTTTTAGTTCTGCACTTGGGTCCTTAACTTTGTTTTTTCCAGTACCGTTACAAAAACATATTGTAACACCTGTGATCAGGATGTCATTTATTGTTGAAGTTAATTCAGTGGCATTAATGAGGTCATACAATTTTACTGCAGCAAACACCAGGGATTCGGGCCACAATGACAAAGCAAAAAAGTTAATTGAAACGTTCTTAAGGTTGAAGGTCATTTCATTGCTGTGTATTGGACTGAATGCATCTTTTAGCAATGCATATGACTGAGTCACCTGATGAGGTCATAATTATAAGTGTCACTCAGCCATTTAGAGTAATAACGCCATCATGACAAGATCTTACTAATGGTGTTTGCAGAGCATTCATTTAACTTTAAGACAAACATAAATATGCTCCCAACATGATCCGGTTTGAATTGTTGACTGTGCAAATTAAAAAAGATATTTGGACAGGTGAGAGTATTGTGCTTCTCATCGATCAGTTTACATCTATCAGTTACTTTTGATTAAGATAATTGAGCTCATTATTGTGCAAAACTCCCAGGAAAAGTCCAACTCAACAAAGTTAATTGCAATATCAATATTGTCCTATACGTGGTATGCAAATTTCTGAACCTGACCGAATGTGGAGAAGGTACAAAAAGAAGAGCTTCCCTCCAAGATGAAAACCTGCTGTCTGCAAATCCAACCTCGTCTGATCATCGGAACAAGGTAAAGTTTTCATTCTTGACTTTTAAGATAGTTTACTGTAGGTTTCATTTGCTCTTCACTGTAATTAGTAAGGCAGACGACATCAACAACAAGACTGTAATCAACCACGGCTCACAAACATTCTCCAGCTCTACGTTTGCAGGGAAACTGTCTAAGGTACACGGATACACTTTTAGCTCCTCTGCTCTCTGTCTGTAGGAGACATTGACCTACCTTTTACATCTCTATGAGTCGCCTTAAGGGTTTGAGAAATGTTACTGTTTGCTGACCTGTGAACTTGAATGAACAACTGCTGCACTCTCCTTCGTCCACCCCACATTTAAAAGTCGTTTTCTAAAAGAACAACTAGAAAAAAAGTCATTTGTAACACAGAAGTACTTGAAGAAGAAGTGAAGTACAATTTATGAGCGTTAATTCAGCTTTTTTACAACGTCTGATCTTCACACAGATGGGATTCACTCTTCAACTCATTGTGCTCCTTGGCCTGAGCGGTGGACTGCTGATGGGAGCAGATGTAAGTGTGATCTTATCCTGATGCCTCACTGTGAGCTATGCTGTGTGCTGAGGTTACTGCGAAATGAAACTACACGTGTCCGACATTGGTGGAGGTGGTAAATTCTAATCTCTATCCTCACTTTAGATTTGATCTCTGACTATATAAAAATGTCAACACTAAGATGGATCTTCTAACAACTGACCGGGTGTGGTTGTAACGCTTTCTGCTTCGACACCTGTAACTCAAAAGGCTCAATTTCTCAAACTTTTATACAAAGTACCCACATTTGTTTACTATAAATTGATCCTACTTTTGACCTCTACAAGAATACAAGAGACCTTGCGGGTAGATGTCAAATAAATGTGTTGCACCACTTCCGGGGGTAGGTTGCAACACAGGGTCGGTGTCCAGTAACATCTTTTTTGTGAAGGCAGAATACGGTAGCCCTCCGGCAAGCTGCTATCAGCTGATCTGAGAACTGCCCCAAAGCAACCAATCACTATTACGCTCTGACAACAAGGCGGTCTATTTAAACCATTCTGCCTCTCACTTTCCTGCATCACATCCACTCTGCTGCTATACACTGCTGTGAAATTCTCTCTCCACCACCCTGACCTCCACCAGTTTCAGTCAGCACATTTTATACTCTAGGATGAATTGTTTGCTTGTTATTTCAGTGTCATTACATGCACATTCAGGTTCTGGTGAGAGCGGAACCAATACCGCCAAATACAACTGTACAAACCATAAGTGCAATAAATGGTTAAATCTATGACGAGAGTATTCATGACTGACATTATTCATATCTACTGGCGATTAAATATTGTTTCTTAAAAGCCCCAAAGTGCTGATGCATGAGCATTAATAAATTTAATATCGTCTTCTTTTCATTCACAGGCTAGATGTGCCAAAAAAGGTTGGTGCTTCTTTCTTGTTTGATGGTGGAGGCAAATGCTTTAAATACAGTAACTTTCAGTCTGCAGTCAAACCTCGATGAGTTAAATGTCCAGAAAAGTCTGTCAAACATCGGAGATAAACCCAAGGAGCCACGAGGAAAACAGACAAGAGTTTAGTCACAACAACAGAATTTTAAACTTATATAGCAATGGAGAACAAACCAAATGTAGCATCGCCATGAGGTCTATCGAGAATTCGCCTATGGGATTTTTGTATTGGATTTTGGATCATTGCAGAAAATAAGCTCTTTGGCAAATGTTTCTGATGCGTCGGTGTTTTGTTCAGCAGGATAATCTTCTTTATGATGTTTGAAGCATTAATGCAGACAGAAGTAAAAAACTAAAAAACGCGGTCCGATGATTTTGATCACTACCGTTACGTTCAGATGATCTCCGATATCAGCTGAGGGTCAGCCTTCGAGGAACTTTAGTTGCCACAACTAGATCCACAGCGTGCACTAAACTCTGCACCCATGAACTCAATACATCAACTCAACACAAATGAACAGAACACTCTTTGATTGATTTAGCTCTTGTTATTGGCAGTGTAGAGAGAAGGGGAACTTAAGAAAGATGAGGACAAATAAAACTATCAAACTACGAGACAGATAAAAGCCCCGACACACCAAGGAGATCATCGGCCGTCAATTCTAGTTGGACCGTCGGTGAGCGGTCGTAGCCGTAGTCTTTGCGGTGTGTCCAGCTCCGTCGGCCATGTTGAATAAACGTTGGCAGTCGGTGAGAGGAATCTCTCTGATTGGCTGTTCGGAGGTTTCATTTCTCTCCAGCTCTCGACACAGTTTCAGGAAAGCCCCTTGAGCATGTCGCTGTAGTATTCATGCACCCATTAGTGCGGTTTCTCCTTATTTGTCTCCTCCGCCTCTTCTTTTCTTTTTCCACTTAAAGACCAAGGGCTGACAACACCAGCGCTATTTTCATCTTTTTTATCAGCCATTATTCTCCATTAGTAGGCTACCTATAATATGAGTGGTGCGCGACAGCGGTGTGAAAATGGTCTTCTCGTATCATAGCTACCGCTGCCCCTCACGCATGCACAGAATGTACATGGTGATTGGCGGTCGGCTGTAGTCTTTGCGGTGTGTTCAAGTGCAACTTTTTGGTGCCACAGGCGGCCTTCGTCACAACTAGTTCTTTACCATCTGCTTGGTGTGTCAGGGCCTTTAGAGATTCAGCAAGCAACCTACAGCCGTAGACCAACAGCAGATGTGTAGATGCTATGTGTTTAAAACCAAAGGGTTATTTATTTTTAAGGTGTCTAACATGATCTTTGTGTTGTAGGAGGATGCTGTAAGGCCTGCCCTGATGGTTGGGCTAAGCACGGAGAACGCTGTTACATGTTCTTCAACGACAAAAAGACCTGGTGTGAAGCTGAGGTACTAAGAACGGTTTACAGTAGCCCCACACTGACCTTATCAGTTCCATGTCCCCCTTTATCCATTCATTGTAATCCTACAGTATTATATTTGAATTGCTTCTTACTATGTTTGCCCATGTTAGTCTCATTGTGTTGAGCAAGGAGGGAATCTGTTTTCACTCCATACCCCTGAAGATGCCGATTTTGTCAGAAATGTTGTGCTGAGTGCAACAGGTGCCAGAACAGCGACTTGGCTTGGAAGCCACGATTCAGTCCAGGTGAGTGATTACTGTAGCTACAATAAAGAGATATGCTTAGCTACAAGATGTCCAAGAATTGAACATTTTTCAATCCTGTACCCTGTGTATGACTGCAGAGTGTTGAATTTGGTCTTAGGGAGCATTCACACCTTAAGGCCCTGTCAAATAGGTTTGCTGAGCGTAGCTAACGTTAGCATTGCTAACAACACCAGCCTTCAGTCCTCCTTCAAAGTTAACGTTACACATCGCTCGGGTCGCCTCATGAATGAAAACAAAATGTACGAGTCGTAAGAGTTTTTTATTTTCAAATATCTATTTTCATATAGATCGTCAAGGTGGAAGAACGGTCGCTGACGGTCATTCTTCGACTAACACTGCCGTCACACCTGCAGCTCTCACACAGACCTGAGCAGAATGTCCTCTTTTGACATTTGTCAAGACGATGTGGTGTCTCATTTGGATGCACTTCTTACATCCGTTTCTTTCTTTCTTTCTTTGTTTCAGAACAATTGTTGGTTGAACAGCGATGGCTCAAAGTTTGACTTCCAAGCCTGGGGCCCCGGTGAGCCAAACAACTACGGGGGAAAGGAAGGCTGCATGGAATTGCGCCACACAGGTACAATCTGCCTTTTTGAGTCCGATTGTGATTTTGACAAAAGATAACAAACAATTAGAACACTTATTAAGAAGAGAAAATAACATTGCATATTTTTTTGATTAGCCCTTGGATCAAACATGTACGTGGCACAGAGTGTAGCTTTAAAAGTCTTTGTGTTGTGTTTTATTACAGTGGGCCAACCTATCAACGACATCAGCTGCAGTATCAAGGCTGCTTTCATCTGTGCCAGGAGCCTTGAAGTGATGGATGACTGAAGCAACATCTCCAGTGATCCTGACGAAGTGTCACTTTCTTTGTAATTTTATGACATTTCTGATTAATTCAAACATAATTCAATAAAGCATTATACTGAGCATTCAATAGGACCTCTTTTTTAACAGCTGTCCAACCGTTTTTTTTAAATTCTGAGAATTAAAACTTTGGGCAAAATAAAAGGACAAATCAAAGACTCTTCAGGTAGCAAAATGGTCCCACGGTTTCCTGTGGCACTAAAAGGAAGGTCAGAGGGACAGTAGTCGACAGGTTTCATCATCCAGTGAGAATGGTGCTTTGTGAGAATAAAAACCTTAAACACACCCACCAAATTAAAAATGAAAATGTGCAATGCACCGTGTTCTGGTGGCTATAAGAGAAACTGTACCTGGAGTTAAAAAACAAGCCGAGCTTTGAAAGCAACAGTGTGGAGGATGCAGCCTGAGAAGGCTAATTTATAAATGATCATCCTGGGCCAATTATTTCATGGCTGGACGGACTCGCATATGGAGCACCAGCTGCTTTAATAAATAATAATAATTTTCTTCACTGACTATGAATTTGAAGCCGTGTGTGCAGACTGATGAACAGGAGCTCGGCTTCGCACGGAGTCAAGACATAACAGGACACGGTGGGGCTGATCTGCAAGTTCGAGAGCAGCGACTTCTTTGCATATCTCAAAACTAAACCACACAAATCAGATCTGCAGAAATGATCAATAAAAACGTCTTATTCCTCAAATAATCATCGGTTCATCTGCAGCTCAGCCTGAAGGGAATCAACACACTGAGGTGAAATAAAAGTTCATAACTCACCGTTACATTCTCCTGCGCTCGATACGTTCATTTCATAAAGCTCATTGGCTGTCACAGAGAGTCAACAGTTCTGAGTTATGAAAGAGCTTTACTTTCTGAGGCGCTCCATGAATCCACAGTGCTAGACGAAGCTTAATTTAAAGGCCTTATTGTTGATGAGTTAATGCTGAAAGTATCATAACAGAATCTTTTTTCTCAACAAGTCTCCTAGATAAAAAATCAAACAGGATTTTAATACCATATTACTGAAATATTTCGATTGTCACGTCCTCTCGTCATAACAGGAACATTTTTGTGGTTGCTCTAGAAAGAACAACAAGCCGTTCACTGTGATTGGACAGACCAAGACATGCAATGCTGCAATTGGCCGCCACACTAATGAGGTAAGTTTAAGAATGTGACTTTTTGCGATGCCTCCATATACTGAAGCCTCCGCTCTCCTCAAGTGACCACCTCCAACCCCCCTAAATCCACTACTTTAATATTTGATATATATATGAGTAAAATGTTGCACATTCTTCCGTTAAGCGCTTTCATAACTCTGGAGGTCAGGAGGATTATAAACAATAAATATTTGTTTCACGTGGAAATTGAGAAAATAAACTGTTTGGATGCACATACTTTTAGGGCTTCCATATTTATCTCTGATTTTATATCTGTGATGGCAGCTGTGTTGATTTAAGCTTCTCAACGTTATACCTCACGTCTTTTGAATTGTTTGTTCAGTTTCCTTAGCTGTTATCGTCTTTCATAAAACACTCTGTGAGGAGCTTTGCAGATTAAGTTCTTCCTAAATGATGATGGTTTTGATGCTGTTTAGAACTCTCAAGAGCAGCTGTAGATGTTATTGTTGATGACAACATATTCATTTAAAAAAGTGCTCTCCCTCTGGTCACTTCCTGTCAGCACCTGTGTCTGTTTGTTTGCACTTCCTGACGTTGTTTCCACCTCTCTAGATCCTCGCTTGTGTTGTAATTACTCTCATGTTCATCGCTTTGGATAAAACTGATAAATGAATCGTAGAATCATAAATTATCCTATAAATATAATCAATAACGTCGAATCAGCTTTTTTTCATATTTAGGATGACATTGTGTGATGTGTTTTTTGTGTTCTTGTGACATTATTGGCTTTCCTTTGCGTGAGGGCGGACTGTACAAGAGGAGGAATGAGGAGGCTCAGCGCTGCTCGCTCGTCTTCCTCCTGACGAGTGTGTAATGAGACTCTAATGAAAGATGAAAAGATGATCTCTGCTATCGGTCATGCATACTTAACTGAAGGATGTCCTCGTGTTTTCTCCTCTCTCAAAGCCCCCCGCAGTTAGTCTTTCCACGCGTGTTAAATCCCAACGAGGTGGGGGGAGAAATGTTAAGTCAGTGTACTCATTATTTATGCTTGTCAAATGAATATGAATACATTTTATATACAAACAAATAGGGGTTAAACCATGAAGATAAAGAGCTGACAATGGCACTAAGCTGGGAAACAAATCACTAAAAGCAACTATATGTAACTTTTCCACCTTAAAACAGTCGTTTCAAAGGTTAATTGATTATAGTAAAATGACTTTCAACAGAGGCTGGAGGCGCAGTGGTCAGTGCGAGTGCCCCATGTATGGAGGCCATGGTCTTCCAAGTGGGCGGCCCAGGTTCGAATCCGGCCTGTTGCTCATTTCCTGCATGTCATTCCCCACTCTCTCTCCCTCTCCAGATTTCTGACTCTATCCACTGTCCTGTCCTCAAATAAAGGCACAAAAGCCCCCAAAAAAAGACTTTCAACAGGGAGGATGGTATCTCTCTCATGTCCACAGCGCGGCGCGTTCACCTGTTTACTGCAGTATTTAAAAGTTTAGCCAGTTAGCTTGTCTCTGTACCGTTTGATACAACGGCTGAGGCTAAGGGGATGAACAGAAGAAACAGAGACGGATAGTGACGAGCAAAAAGCTGAGTGAACATCCCTGCTGTTATTATTCAGAACAGATTTACACGTATCGTAGTGCTGGGCGATATGGCCTAAATTTGATATCACAATATTTTTTTGCCTAATGTCGATATTCGATATGACTCGATATTTAACGGATTAAAGTTTATAAATGTAGCCTATAAAACTGAATCTTCACTGTATAAAACAAAAAGATCACTGGCCCGACCCTTGTAACCGCTGGCCCACAAACTTTTGATTCGAAGAATACCAGTCACCAATTTACTCTTGAACCATTCTGATGCAAAAGTAAATAACAATTTTTATTTAGTCAATTTAGCTCTAATTATAAAAATATTTGGTATTTTTCTCATATTAATTTGCTCATGTTTATTCACCATGCTGGTAACTGTAAGAGTCTGCTTAATCTGATATTAATATGAGGCTGTGACAGAGCTGGAATTGTTATGATCACCTTTCTCTCCTTCTTTCTTCTCTGTGAGAAACTCTTCATCCTTAGATCTTAACTTTAGGAGCTCTCTTAAGGGCTAAGATGCTTTGTGAATAACTTTTATCTTTACCATGATCTAGTCTTTAACTTTAAGAGGAAATTTAGCTGCAGCGTGTTCCAGCTCCTCCAGCTGTCTGTCATTGTGGCTGAAACTTTTCTCCGTTCTGTTTTCATCACGCCCTGCCGTCACTCTCGACTCTTCCGCTGATTTTTTTCCTTTGAATGCTGATTCAAGCTCGACTTTTGTTGGGATCTGATGGTTTTAAAACCGTTTTACCAAACGTGTTTTTTAGTAGAGAAAACCTGCGCTAAAATCTGTGTACAATTCAAGTGTAGCGAGCGCAGTGACAGCAGTGAAGCCGCCAGCTGAATGTGCAATCAGCACTCTGTCAATCATTCATCTGGGCCAGCGGGACAGTTATAATGTCGAGCCCTGCGTTATGTGCCCTTTTTTTGGAAGTAATTCGCCCTCGCTCGCATCTTTCTCTTTCTCCTCCATGTTGGTCGCTTATAAGAGCTAGGCTACTCAGTGGCAGGAGTGGAGTCTCCTCCGCCCATTCGTCTCTTTTTAGTCATCCAGGTCATGGTAAATTCAAAGCTTGATCCAAAGGAAACTGGAGTGGTTGAAGATCCTGAAGACATTTCACCTCTCGTCCAAAAGGCTTCTTCAGTTCTAAACTTTGGACTCTTAATATCATTTCAATCCCTCCAACCCATTTACTCCTGCGCCATCAACTCCACCATTGAGGTACTGAGACCAAGATGAGAGCAGTCAGTCGAAAAAGACAACAGACACGGAGAAAGATAGAATACAATTTCTACATTCGAGTTTATTCTGTGCATGGTGTTCTTTTATTACATGTCTCTCTGTGGTGGAAAAGTGAGGGTTCACAATAAAGAAAGAACTTTGCTTGTTTCCAACGAGAAAAGGGGGACGACAGCACAGTGAAGGAATTACAACATGTTGGAGGACTGTACAGAAGAGTGTGTTCTAAAAAAGCTTCCTGTTTGAAAATAGACAAATATAAACTACATGAGCTGTTCTAACCATGAGTCTGATGGTAATGGGCAGTGTGTACAACTGGAGGAGGATGACTGTGGCCTCCTAAACTTCTCTTTATACTGACCAAGTTAAAGTAATAGTTGGAAGATAATCAGGGTGTACCTGCCTCGTATATTAATACACTTTGCTGTCAGGGCCCTGGAGGACATTGTGCACTTGTTTTTGATGTATTGAAAGCCTCTTACACAACCTATTACCTTTGAATTTGAGACTTACAGTCCCTGAAAATATGTCTTTATTAACCTCTCAGGCGCTTGAACGGTTTTTAAACTGTCCACATTAAGTCTGGGGGAGGGGTTACTGCCCTTTGTGATGTCATGAAGGGAAAATCTCCAAACGGCCTGTTTGAGCACACATTTTCTGAAAAGTGGAGCAGGCTACAGACGGAGAGGATGGACTTTACTCATCATTGGGGGGTTTGTAGACAGACTAGGGACACATTAGTCATATAATATGTGACCTTTAAGCTCCGTCATGCTTGAGTTTCCTCTCTCTGCACGAGTACACACTGCCCATTGTGTAGAAAAGTAGAAATGTGAAACATATGAAGAAATGCTGACGATGTCATGCTTAGTGCCCTCGATATAAAATCCTGATGTTACAAAGAACTGCGCTGATCTAAAACACACAAAAAGAACACAAAGGAGAGAATAAATAAAGAATGGCTTCAGTAAACGGTTGTCTCCCCGGTCCTCAGAAAACCCCGGTCTATTGGCACGAGCACTACGACAACAATGAGAACAACTAAAACAACCAAAAGATGGAAAGATTGCACAACAAAAACCTCAACTCTGAGGAAGGTGAAGGGCTCCATAAAATCAATCTTTTTTTATACATAAATTGAAAAAATATTTTTTCACATTGAGAGGGAAAATAAAATATTTACTGTACAAGAAATGACACCAAACTCACGCTAGAATTTGAGAGGGATCCTTGAGTTCCGACGCCACAAAAAAAATCACCCACAATCCCTTTGTCGATGCTGTTTGAAACACTCGCTTAAAAAGTTATCGGTCACCAATTCAGATGGTAAGAAAAGCTGTAGAAAAATAAAGTACCAGTAATCTCAAGATTAAAAGACCAAATGCCCTTGAAAATTTCTTTAAAATCTCCAGACAAATTGGAGAGGATTAAATCCACAAATGCTGTACTTTATTTCATTTTTTTTTCTCATTTATAAAAGATTTTTTTCTTCTTCTGTCAGTCCAGCGTTGATCTTTTGGCAGTAACTGGAACACGAGGGGATTGTGGGGAGTACTGGTAGGGTCCGTCTCCTTCTCCTGAGGGGTTACGTTCATAGTTTATGGTAGAAGCTGGTTCCCTCTGATGCGGTCTGGTGGGTTCAGGTAGAGGCAGTGCAGTCAGGTGTGATACGGGGAGGTGAGGGGGCTGCTGGAAAAATGGCATGATGGAGATACAAGAAAGGAGGGAGAGAGGTGAAGCTGAGACGTCTGAGGAGGAGAGCGAGAGAGGAAGGTGGGAAAAACAGAAAAGTGAGAAGTCATCGTTAGTGGGCAGCAAAGTGTCCTCACTTCAGAAACTCGTTTGAACACAGAAGGAGAAACAGTCGATTAAAACGATAAAAAGAGGTAAGAACATTATGAGGATGTAGCTGCAGCAGAAATACTACAGCCGGCGGCCAACCACCACGTAGGTTCTGCAGTAAGAGGAAATAACTGTCCATGCCAGCAGGGGGTGGTACGAGAAAACCATTTTCACAACGCTGTCGCTCACCACTCGTATTATAGGTAGTCTACTAATGGAGAATAATGTCTGATAAAAAGGTGAAAATGGCGCTGGCGTTGTCAGTCCTTGGTCTTTTAGTGGAAAAAAAAAAGAAGAGGTTGAGGAGACAAATAAGGAGAAACCGCACTAATGGGTGAAAGCATGGAGACTACAGCGTGCTCAAGGGTCTTTACTGAACCTGAGAGGAGAGCTGGAGAGAAATGAAACCTCCCAACTGCCAATCAGAGAGATTCACACTCAGCCATTTTTCTTCTTCGACCAGTTCTTCCTGCAATCGCCCTGATGTCATGAGGTTGACAGTTTGCAAGCTTCTCCTAAAGATGGCCTGTCTTCTTGTACAAACTCTTTGACTGATGACAGTCCTGCACTGAGAGCTTGCAGCTGTTTTGATGGACATGTTACTCTCCTGCTCGCCTCTCTAATAAGAACGATGGGAGAAGTGTTGAATTACGAAATGCATTGATTTGAAATACGAACATCCTCCTGGCTTTGAGCTGAACTGTAGTCGTGAACTTACGATACGAGGCTAAAACACTCAAATAAAAGCGACAGTGGTAAAAATAGATCCGTCGCTGCAACTTCAAAGCCATCAATAAATCTGCAAGAGTCTGCGGCTGTTTATAGAGCGAGAGCAGTAAAATGTTTTAACGACACCGCGTCGAACTGGAGGAGTCTCAGACATTTAGATTGTATCCTGACGATTGTGAGAAAGACTTCAAACTTTACTGAACATTACAGATGTAGCGGTCAGGAGTCTCAGGCTTCACTCTGATGTAAACACATTGAAGTTGATTGAACGTGCCGGCTAAACGGAGCGGTTCATGGGACCTTTAGAGCCCTCAGCTTTGTCTCACAGGCTGGAATGGTTTGCTGACGCGCCTCTCCCAGAAGAAGAACAGAGATGTTTGCGATACAGCTGGATGTAGAAAGATATTTTTTCCCAACTGTAAACTTGTTATTACAGATTTTTCATAATTCAAAAGTTTCTCACCACACAAAGGAAGTTTTCCCGATGATTTAATGTGCAGGGACAGTTTTTCTGCGGGCGTAGGCGGCTCATTAAACCATCCGTGTGCTAATTTGTTCAGCTACAAAGTCGTTTTAATGAATTCCACCAACCTCTGCCTAATTTAACCCTGACTCACTCACCTCCCAGGCTTACTAGTAACATTAATGAGTGTGCTAACAGGCTAAAGTATAACACTTTATAATACAGTGAATGCAGCTCCTCAACATGCTGTTTCTGGGACAATTTGAACTTTCGATGAACTCACATGTTTGTGAATTTAAGACGGGGAAACACCAGGGTTTCTTTTGCTCATGACCTTCTGTCATCACTGCGGGTTAATAACAAGATGGACAGAGTTATAAAACGTATCATTCTGACTCTTCTTATCTTAAAGTGGACATGAAGATGATGTTTTCACACGTGCATACAAGCTGCATGTGTGAACGCAAACTGACACATTTTTTTACTCCGACGTTACCCAGAACTTCTCCTGCCTCCCCAAATATTCAGCACGAAGTCAGGGTGGGCTGATGTGAGAACGCAGCAGGAAATATTCAGGAGAATTCAAAGCGAACAGCGAGCATGTGAGTGAGTGTGAGGTGACTTTATATGCTGCAAACGGTGCACGGACAAATACTGTAGGCACACGACCGGTGTGATCTCTTTCTGCATCACTGTGTTTTCTGTTCAGCAGTTTGTTCTTCTCCACTCTTTTGGTGATGTTGTGAACAAGTTGAACTACACGTAGCATTGGTATGAAAGCAAATATTCTCATTATAGGGTCGTATAGAAGTGGTTTTAATTCCTTTTAAGTCACGTCAGGGAGAGTAAAGACAGGTAAAGTCTCCCGGTTTGAGGTGCATGTGTGAACAAGGAACGTAGGAAGATTCAGAGGCAGTGCGCCTCAAGTTTTTGTGAACGGCTTTAGTCTCGGAACAGAACAGTGTATACAGCTGTTAATTTAGAATATGACTTCCATGCAGACTCATCATCTGTCACCAATAATATCTTAATGAGAAGAAGAGAGTAACGACAGAGCAAAGGATCAACAACCAAAAAGTTTTAAATTCGGAAAAACTTTCCGCAAATCCTGGCACACACGCAAAAAAAGTGATGCTGAGTGCCCCCTACAGGCCAGGAGGACTTCTGTTGATGATTGGATTTGCAGCACATTTGATGTAAATACAGTTTTTACTCCTTTGGCAACATGTTTTTTTTATTTGAAGCATTTTTCCGTTGTTGTATTTGTTTTGGAGTTTTGCACGTGTTTCTGAATGTGCTGCTCATATTTTCTAAATGAAGAATGTAGTTGATTCTTCGCCCGTGTCAGTACTGAATAATAATGTTGCTGGTTAACATACGTGAAACTATGCAGCATGTAGCTGTACTTTCCTGCAGTTGAATTCTCTGGCACAGATTTAAAAGTCAAGCCCTCAGGTATTGGCTGATTTCACACCTTTCCTGCCTGCCAAACAGCGCTGAGGGCTTATACACACTCTCAAACAGGCAGGCTGGGAGGTGGGGTCGCTGTGTTTACATACCACCCTGTCAGACGACTAAACAGCCCCAGACTCGGGCCCGGACCCTCTAACATCACGTAAACAGGGCACAATGAAAACCACATGGGCAGAGGTAATGAACACGACTCAAAGAGCCCACAGTTTCATGTTTAAACACACACACAGACACAGACACACACACACACACACATTGCATGGTGAGTGATGCAGCACAATTATATTCACAGACTGATGTGGTTGTTTTTGGCCTCCATCTTTACATCTTTCTGATTGTTTTAATTGAGTGATATATCTTCTGATATCAAAGGTTCATCCAGACGATTTCCTTTTACCCCTTTAGTCACGTCTTCCTGTTATCTTTAACTTTTTCTAAATCAAAGACACATTTACAAAGACTTTGTAAATAGTAAAGAGTTTGCGACCACAGCCATGATGACTTCATCGTCCGATTCATGGCTCCACATCTGACTTTGATAAAAATCTTTTATCACACAGAAAACATCAAGAAGGTTTTTTTTTTTTCATACAAACTCTACGGTGAAATTACCAGAAATTAACCTCCAAAGATCCCTCTGAATATGTTTCAAAAAAGGGCGAGTGACAAATGCTTCTTGTGTTTCTGACTTCAGTCAGTGTAGGGTCACATGCTCAGTTAAGTTAAGTTAAGTGGAGCCTCGATTAGGTCGTTTAATCCGACAACTCTCCTTGTCCCGGTATATAAAAGCAGTGGGGGAGAAGTCAGACTCCGCTACAGTGGAGGCGACGTCCCTCCTCTCAGCTTCTTCCTATCTGACATTCTTCCAGCTGACGTTTCACATCACATACCAACGAATGGACAAACAAGTGAACAAGCAGCAAACTGATTTCCTTCCATCTGTGTACTTCAATGTGTTTAACTCCTTCAGCCGACACAACATAAACCAAGTCTCCAAAAATGTTCAATATGTCAGCGCTGGTATTCTGGCTTCAATTCTATAAACGGAGGAGCGCTGTCCGTTTTAATATACAGTCAAAGTCACGACTGAGGAGGAACTACATGGATAAATCTGGGTATGTATATAAAACCTGTACGGGGGAATTATTTGATAAAACCTTTAAAAACTTCTTGTGCCAAAAACAGTCTGTTGTTTTTATGGTTTTCTTTTATTTTATAGTGTCTTGTGTATTATCCGCAAGAAATAAGCTGCCCACCACCATCGGACTGTTGTCCCCACAACCACCGCCGTCCTCATTCATGCACTGCCTGCTCCGACCTCCACCTCAGCGCGAAGGAAGTGTGGACAACAGGAACATGAGGAATACAAAAGAGAAATCCTTCCTGCATATTATCCCATGTGCTCTTTTGGAAAGGGTCTCCAGATAACACTTGTTATGAACTGACGCTATGCAACTAATGATTGATTGATTGATTGATAAGAACTTCTTTAACAACGATAACAGAAGGAATGCTGAGCTAACAATCCTGAGCCTGCAGCCCAGATGTTTGACATGAAGCTGCTTTTTTCACCATCAGCAAAGACCAGTGTTACATCACTGCACTGTCCTCTGACACACTTCTTAAGATCTGTTCTTTTCCCCCACCGCTCTCACACAGTTGTAATTTGTAATTTAGGGGGTTGTAAATTACAGCTATAAAACATCCAACAATCCAAACAGTTTCAGTCTGTAGTCGGAATGACCTGCTGTGTAAGCTGCCGCTTCAGAGCCATGAAGAAGAAACAATTCCTGGTGAAATAAACGTGATTTGTGAGCTAATTGATATGTTTTTAAAGGCGTGCATAGATTGATGCACTAGCTCAGAGGTTCCCAAAGCGGGGATCGAGACCCCACTGGGAGGGGGGACACGACATGCCTTCCAAAAACAAATAAAAATGATTTAAATTGCATATTTGACCCATTATTGTGAAATAGTAGTAACATGACTGTAATGTAGGTAACTGTTGTGCTATATGTTTCATTATTTGAAGGCTGCTGTATTCTTTAGTGTTGTTCTGAGGTCAGTGTTTGGATCGGCCTGTTAGTGCGTGCTGCCATGTGCCACATTAATCCCTTTAACCTCTTCCAGGGACAGAGGGGGTCCCCAGTCTGTTGCATCGTTAGTTTGGGGGTTGCTAGGTGAAAAGTTTGGGAGCCCTGATACATTAAGCGTTTTAAGACTGTGACGGAGGCATTTGAATACTGTTGTCGGTTTAGGAACACATTTAAAGAAGTGAATGATAATGTGGGCATGCTGATAAAAATACACCTGAGACAATCTGTTCCTGAAAATATTGTCTCTGTAACATGACTCAGCGATCCTTTTTTGTAATAATTAATATAGTGGGAAGCGGAGTAGGTGATGCAACAGGCAACACAAATCCTGCTGAATAGAAAATACACCTCTGTTAACGTGTGTCCTCTTTGCGTTTGATGCAATGGGGAGAAAGCCTTATCTTGCAGGGAATGACTCACTAACTTTGACTCCATCCTGCAGCGTCTGTTTGATAAATACGTCTCGTGTGTTCGGGGCAGAACGCGTGAAAAATCTGGAGAATAGGATTAGTAAATCTGGCCCCGCAGAGCTTTGTCGCTTTCTCAGAGTAAATAGCTGCAGATCAAGTAGGGATTCTTAGTGGAAACATCAGAACCAGAGGGCAGACATGCTGCTTTAACCGTCAAAGACGACCCAGGGAGAAGTCACAGAGTGATTCACAGCACAGACTGCGGGCTGGAGAGCGAAGAATACTTGCGACGCGCTCACGTGAACATGATAGCTATCTCAAGTCCCCTGTGTCTTTTCAACACATCAGCTGTGCACATCTTCTTAAATTAACTACACAGGATGCAGTATAAACATGAACAGTAGGGGCAGTGTGGAAGGCAGAGGGGATGTGACGGAGTCAACACAACTGCAGGAATAAGGATGGCAGAACGTTTTGAACACAAGCTGATAATAAAATAAATATACGATGTGCAATGAAGCAAAAAAATTGTGAAAACAAACTCAACAATAAATTAGGCAATGAAACGTGTATTTGGAATCAGCACAAACTACGCGTGCCCAAACTGCCCCGCCATCCTCAACAGACCCGGCCTCTGCCCATGTAGACACCTCCCACCTCACAACACGGCCCCCCCCCCAAACACAACTATGTGGGCAGCAAGAGAAAGGACACCACCGGGCTGCCAAGCAGGAACATCATCATGATCATTGAAAAGGCATTAAGACGAAGAGAAGGCTATCCCTGCATGAATAAACAGAAGAGCTCTGCCCTTAACTACAGCATGTGTCAGACAGAAACGCTGAGCACAGGCCTGTTTCTCTCTCTCACTGTGTCACAATCATCCATTTAAAGTAAAACAGCAATATACTACTGAGAAAATAAACCCTGATAATGTGACTTCACATTCACAGACTTCAGATTTGTTCAGTTTTGCGATGTGAATGTTTTTTTTTAGCATGCATCTCCATGACTTTCCTTATTTTCATATCCGTACAGCTCTGATTTCTTTTTGTGTGTTATCAGCATCTTCTGTTGATAGTTTGATAGGAGGAGTCAGACAGGATGGAAGTGTGTGACTTGGCAACACTCACCACTCTGCAAATGTTCACGTGGACGTGCATGATAAGACCGGGCGCAGCTACGAGTCTGACGTCAGGCTCTCAGTCAGGCTCGCTGCATTCAGGGTAAAATCAAGGCAAGACATCGGCAAAGTCAGATGTACGAGATAAAACCTTTTTTATTGAAGCTCAGCTGGTGCTGTCGGCTCCTGGGGGGGTCACGGGACGGTTTAGCTGTCACAAGTTTCTTCTGTGCATTTTCTAAATAATACTATCCTTTTCCGTCTGCACTTTTGGCCTTTTCATGAGATCCTTTCATTGTAGAGGAAGTATTCTTTTCGCATTGTTGTGAATTATCTCGTGGAAAATGAGTGGTGAAGACGATGGGTGGGGGTGGGGGGGCACTCACCTTTAAAGGATCCGTCGTCTTACTCGGGGGAGATCTCTGTTTCCTGGTGCACCACCACTTTGGTAACAGACATGTCAGGGTGCTGCTCCTTCGCCTCTTTGATAGCCTGAGCCAGAGCCTGAAGACAAAAAACACGTTTACAAGAACATGATTAATGAGTTTAATTAAAACGACTTTCAACAGATTTATTTCTGCGAGTCTCCATGGGGCAAATTAAGCGTTAAGATAACTCCATCCTGTCCTATCAGGTGCGTCTGTAGTAATAGAAGAGCCGCCACAGTGTCTCTGTTCTGGCAGGCTTTCAGGAAAACAACACAGCTATAAACTCCCGCTCATCGTTTTGTGTCTCTCACCTTGTCGTGGTCGATCTCAGTGTCTCCGGTGATCACGATTCTCTTCTCGATGCGAGTCTCTGAGATTCCTCCTTTCACCGTCTGCAAGAGAGAGACATCCCACAAGCTCAAATAAAAGCTCACCATCCACACACACACACACACACAAAAAGATAGATTTTCTATCATCCCTCTGACAGAATTTTAAAGGAGAACTGATTTCACTTCAACAGGACGGCCCTGCCTGATAGAGGTTTCCTATCCTAAAGGTAATCCCTTAAACACACAGTTTGGGTGCTGATAGCCGATTATGTCACTCGACTGAGGCTATAGTCCTAATCACAGGAGCCATGGGTTCAAATCCGACCTCGGCCCTTTGCTGCATGTCATCCCTCCACTCTCTCCTCCCAACACTTCCTGTCTATCTTCAGCTGTCCTGTCCACTAAAGATAAAAAGGCCCCGAAAAACCCTTTATGAAAAACACAGTTCAGTGATGTGATTTTAAGTTTTAGTTTTAAAGACACAGAGATCAACGGGATGAAAAACACAGAAGGTCGAACGTTATGATTCTGTTCATGTCAGGGAGACATGGATGGTGATGTGATTTGCGCTTTTGGCGCAACACTCACGTAAAAACAAATATCAAAACAGTAATAAACAAACAGCGGCTTTAATAATAAGAAGTGGGCAATGCTTTAAATCACTCTCCTGGAGGAGACTTAAAGAGTGAGTCCTGAAGGTTCAATAACACCAGCACGAGTGATTGAAAGCAGGGCGCCGTCACCGCATGGCAGTAATTTACTGTATTGATCGGTATCGACCGGCAGGGGAAGGGCTGTTAGGGCAGTGAACAGACCTTGGTGATCTGGGTGGTGGTGGTGGTGCTGATAGTCTCGGAGGTGATGGTCTGGGCACTCAGCAGCACTCCTGAGTCCCTCTCTGCCAGCGTGTCCACCGGCTGCGGGAGAGAAACCTTTTAAGTGTTAGTCGAGAACCTCAAAGAAAATCAGTTCAACAAAAATCACTGATTTATCTGATTTATTGCTAATCTGTGTGATGATACCTCAAATGTGCCTTCTAGTCTTTTCACATATGCATCTGAAAACTTTCTTTTTTTTTGCAAAGTCCTACCGCTGAAGAACGGTTAATGCTTCCTTTGAGTACGAAAATAGAAAAGAAACTAAACGATATAAGTGTCACTTCTGTTACAGCAACAATGTCCCTGGTAGGTTGTATTGCATGACTGTCAAGCTAGTAAGGGACGGGCCTTCCTGCCTGATCGTACGGCCAAAGGCTGGGGAGCTACCATCTTGATTAGCTGAGGTGGGCAGGTGTGCAAGGGAGGACAAATCTTTGGGACTGTGAGATGCTTTGTGGGAGTTTGGACGAGAGACTGTGTGTTTCCAGTTTTTCTTTGAAATAAAGTCTGAGTTATTGTCACATGGCCTCAGATCCTACACGGAGGAGAACGCGTTGGAACCGAGCAGAGTGAGCTGGTACAGAGAGCGACGTGTCACGGTGTAGAAATAAGGCTGCAACAGGTAAGGTCAGTCCCCCTTACCTTAATCAGCAGCCGCAAGCAGTTATGCCATGGGCGGCAGACGCCTGAAAGCCCTAGACAAGGATAATCCCAGGGTTGTCTTTGTCGTGACACCACCCGCATACTCCCAAGCATCCTTCACTTCGGGAAGGTGTTTGTAAAATGCATCCACTAGAGGGAGCTGTCTCGCACTGACCTCCTCTTCTCCTTTGCTGCCGTCCAACTGACATTCAGTTCCCGTCCGATCTCCGGCCCGGCTGTTCTGTTGTAGTTGTCTTTTCATGTTGCTGTTTATATTCATCACCAGCTCGTACAACCTTTCCTAAAAGAGTGTCCTCCATTTTTCTAAAGTGTTCTTCTTCGCTGTGTTTTGCTGGACTGGCTTGAAATGGTGACTACACTGCTACTACGGCTTTAAGAAAACAAGCATGAATACAGACGAGATGAAAGCACAGTACGGAAAGAAGGCTTCATCTGTATTCGCGAGCATGTCAGCCGGAGGGCATGACTGAGCCTTTTTTTCTCACTCACACAATCACAGCTGTTGACTACCATGCAAGATGTTGGCCTAACTGTTTGGAGACATTTTGCGTTCAGTGTCTCGCTCAAAGACACTCGAGCAAGAGACGAGACGAAGCTCCGACGACCAGCTCGACCACCTGAACTGAAATCAGCCATAAATGACCCAAACTTGCCCCTCATTTCATCTTATTAGCAGAACTCAGCACAGGTTAAAAAAACAACTTCATATTGCATGCAAGGTCGAGCTCTTCAGACCTCTTACCTGAGTTGAATCAAAGCCTGCAGGTAAAAGTGAAACACAATATGTTACATGTCATGTTTATCCACATGCAGTTCCCAGAAGTCCCCTCACCTGTGCCGACTCGTACGTGATGGTCTTGGTCTCGGTGTGAACTAAGGGGACGTCCTTGTAGATGACGCTCTCTCTCAGAGAGTTGGTGACGTCTGAGATGGTGATTTTCTGCGTCTTTAGGACAGGAGACTGCAGGGATCAGATCAAACAGTCAGCTACCGACTCTCTGAGGGACGTATCAATGCATAACATCGCTCACATGTCAGCTGTCATCAAACCACTCACACCACTCAGACGCTGAAGTTAAAGCCTGATTTACACTTCTGCGTCAAATCTACGCTGTAACTACTCCGTCTGTCTGCGTAGCTCTGCAGTATTTCACATACAAACACGAGGAGGTTACATCACCTGTTTTCTGTACCGCAACATTCTCTGCCTGTTTGTGAACAGGATCGTTCAGATCGTAAATATCGAGCAGTTCGTTGACTTTGCCGCAGTTATTGTACAGAAGAAAAGAGAGGAGACGTCAGAGGAGGAATGTACGGCTGAATCAGCTCAAGAAGAAGACGGGGGAATTCTTTGCGTTACTTACAGTAGGCCACACATAGGCGGGTCTTTTTGAAAATAGGTTTTTCATACCCACTTAAACGGCGTTTTAGGTCACTGAAAACGCACCATTTGTAAAACTCCTTCCAGGGTGAAGATGTTCAGAAACTCTGTTTAAGGTTTTTCTGTAGAGACGGGGGAAAAATAGTTTTGTTCTTGTAACGTCACGCTGAGCGCCAGTTTCTCCTCCGTTTCACATCATTGTGCGACGCTGTCACTTTTGTTTTCATGAGATTAGTGCGATGTCACCTGAATGGACAACTTTGTAAATGAAATGATCGTTGTAGAGGAATAGCGAGAAAATGTTAGCATGTCAAGGACATCGTTGTTTTGCGTTTTCGTGTAGACGAAGATGTTTTTGAGAACTCAGCGTGTGTGGACGGGATTAATTTTTGAGACGGAGGAAAACCTCTGTTTGAAAAAATACACGCTTAATGTACGTGTGGACTAGACCTTGAAGTCATGGACGAGGTAATGCACGTCTGATCATTTCGGATGGCGGTATGTAGAATTGACGGATTGGTTTGCCGTCTGCAACCACTGATGTAACCACACCAGAGGACACACAACACCAACCAGAGGACTAATCACAGGGCTTCTGGTCTTCGTTGTTTTGATGCATAAATTGCTTTTGGGGGAGGTGCACATCAGGTCTCTGTTGATACAGGGCTACGAGAACCTGCAATGTGTGCTGCGATGTAGATATGACACAGAAGTATAAATCAGACTCAAGGCTTCACATGTTTGTGTATCAGAGTTTTTCAGGTGAATTTGGTTTGGCTGTTCAAAAACATAAATATATAAAACATTTCTCCGCTCAGCACTACTTCACTCTACACAATGAGGTTTACGATTTATCTACTGGGAAAAATAGAACTGCTTCAATTTGAGTTTTTGCAGTGCATAGAAAACAGAGAATCAATGTAACCTCCAGTCAGACTTAAGCACAATAACGTTTAGATGATGTCGTTGGAGCTCACAGGTCTGCAGCAGTCTGCATGCACAGAACTAACACACTGACCAACAGATGTCCATCCCTTCTCAAGGCTTGGCTAACCATATCCCACATAGAAGAGAGCTACATCAGCGTTGCATGTTAGAATAGACAATGACCCGAGCAATAAGAAACACAACCTCATGAAAAAGCCAACATGTTACAACCACTGAGGTCTTCATCAGGTCACGCACAGAGCTTGTATTTTTTGATGAAGACCTCAATGACATCATTAACATGTTGGCTTTTGAATGTTTTAGTAAAGATCTTTCAGTATTTCCTTCATCATTGTTACATGGTTCATGCTTGGAGTGCCTGGTTCCCCACTTTGTGTGCAACATACCCGGCCCAGTCTAGGCCTGTGAAGGCTGTTTCGTCCTGAGCCGGGGATCCGGCCTGAAGATTTCTGCCTTTTAATAAGGCAGTTTTTTCTTACCAATGTAACTTTTGCTGCTTTGCTAAAGTGCTCATGATGGACAGGCCGGATCTTTGTAATATAGCAATAAGTAAGGTCTTTTACCTGCTTTTTGAAACATAAAAATGAGTATGGTCTGTACCTGCTCTTTTGTAATGTTAAAAAACAAAGAGTAAGGTCTTTTACCTGCTTTTTGTAAAGTGTCTTGAGATAACACTTGTTTTGAGTTGATGCTATACAAATAAAAATTGATTAATTGATTGATTGACTTTAAACATCAAACACATTGTATCTTCTTTTCCTGACGGTGGACCAAAGCATCTACCATCAAATTCATGCAAACAGAACTCCACCTTTCATTTTGACAAGAATATTTATATATATAGTCAAATGAACACATGTGATTCGATGCATTTATTATTTTATACGACCTATAACACACCTTACTGCAGCTTTCAATGAACACTGTAAAAGTTTAAACATACAGAGAGAGAAATCCGACGGCTGGAAGACAGAAAGTCCATCAGTTGATGTTTTAACAACGTAAAGGTTGCTCTAAGATCACAGTGAAAAGTTCAGGCCTACAGAAAGAGAATTACACAAGGATCCATGACATTAAACCAGCAGGACACAAAGATTCAGCATGCACAAGTTGTTGTTGTTTTTTTATAGATATATATGGTGTTCAATAGCAGTGTTGTAAAAGTAATGCTCCAGTTCAGTCCCAGCCAAATATCAAGGGGTAAACATTATACTCTCCCAGAGTTCATCAACACCCAGATGGTCATCATCTCCTGTCATTGGTGTAAAGGCTCTGAGCTGTGTCTACACCGCGGTGACAACATTCATAGAATCGTCCAAGAGCCTTCAAATGGTGAGTCACATAGTAACTGTTTAAAGCCGCTGTTATAGCGTTAGCATTTAGTATAAGAGAGGAAAAAAACCTTTGTTCCATAATGTCCACATTTATTTCCATCTCTAAGGACGCACTCACACTAGGCCACCCGTACCATGCCCAAGCACACTTCACCCTTAAAGTCCAGTTTGTTTGACGAGTGTGAGTGCTCCATACCGTGCTGAAGCTTGGTACACTTCCTCGGCCCTGGCAAGCTTGAAAGGTGTGCTTCAGCACGGTACAGATCATGCACAAGCACGGGTACACAACGTGGACAGCCTTCTATGATCTAGAAATTTTCTGGAGTCTTCTGTCCGTATCTGACTAACATGACTCAAAATAAGCCACAAAGTCGATAAGTAGCTCTCATGTTCTCTGTGTTGTTCTCCAATGTGCAGATGCGGACCCGACAGCCCGTTCCTTTTTTTTTGCCTCAAGTCTTTCTGTCTTGTAAACTGAGCACGCTTCATGATCATATAAAGCCATGTATAAGTTGAATGAGGACGTTATGTAGAAGAGGACACTGTGCTCAAGCCCTGTAAGTCCTGGAGCAGTGTGAGTGCAGGCAAGCGGGGGAATGGGGGGGGGGGGGGGTAATCGCACTTAAGTACGGGACGAGACAACTTTGCCTGGTGTGAGTGCGCCTTAAAGCCAGCACCAGGACAAGTTCATCCTTATCTTTTGTGTCTTGCTGCTTTTTCTCCTTATATTTGATCTGCAAACTTTTTTAACACTAAATGCATCACAGCCTCTAACTGAGACCTTTATCTGTCAAAACGTGCCCGGCTAGTAAAAGGGGCGGGGCCTTCAATTGGGATGGGCCTTTTTTTTAAAAGTTTTACAGGAAGTAGGTTTTGGGAACACATTTGGTCTTATTTGGTGAATAATGCAAAGAATGCAGCGTTCACAGCTGTGTGTACTGCTTAGACAGAGCGTCTTTCATGAAGCTGTTTATATTAAAGGTTAATGAAAAGTGGATGTGTTGACTGCTTATAAAGTGGGCTCTCTCTTTTTGGACTCTTTGTTCTCTTCAAAAGGTCAGCACTGCCAGTTTGACAGCACAAACGAGCACGCCAAGGATCACCAGGTTGGCGTCTGTTCAGATCTCCTGTCTCTGAAACAGGATATGGGATAATTTCATTAAAAGAACTGAACAGTCCGATCCTTCGCTGCAGCGGCTCCAACATGAGTCACAGACCTTTGGGCAGCATTTTAAAAAAAGCTCAGTCGGAGAAAAGTTGCATAATGTAACTGACAGACCACTAAAGCCGTCAACAATCATGCAACAAACCAGCAGTGAAGTCATGTAAACAAGTACACGGTGCCTTAAGAAGTGCAACAGTTTCATTTAAGGCCTTTGAAGGACAGTATTGGGCTGATTGGTTCTAAAAGGTATCACATATTTATATCAGATATAATTTTATTCATCCTAACTGCACACTGGATCTTGTTGTCCGATGAATCCACAGCTCAGCTGATTCACTTCACAGTTCAGTAGTGAGTTGATTTGATTTTTTTTTATGGGTTTAAACAATGTTATTTCTGTTCTGGCCCATGGAAACCTTTCCAGACTGAGTTAAATCCAAATCACATTTTTTATGTAACTGTTGTCCTGCATATCGAAAATCGTCTTTCTCATCAACCCAGGCAGCAACAGCTCACTATGAACTTTACCTTTATTTACTGTCTGTAAAGCAAATGCTGCTCATGTCAACTTTATCCTCTGGAAGACTCCAAGACATCGTCACATTGCAAAAAAACTCCTGAAAATCCTGATATTTCCAGGAGGAGCCGTATGTGTGAATGCAAACAGCCACATTTTTCACTATGACTTTATCCGTATTTCTCCGGCCAGACAGCTAGTATTTATTCCGCAGCAAGTCCGAGTGAGCTGCGGTATATTATCTGGAGACTTCACCTTGAGCCAATCGGAGGGGAGAGTGACATTTATATCCTGTGACTAGTGCAAGATGTTCATTAATCTGTTTTCTGTTCGTCAGTATGTTCTTCTCCGCTTGTTGTGATTCCGCTGAACATAGCATTGATATAAAGGCAAATGTTCTAATTATAGACTCGTATGGCCGACTCAGTAATTACATCCGCCTCTTCTGCATCGCTTTTTTACATCATGTCTTGCCTGAGGAGACCCCCGCCCCCCCTCCTGTCTGACAGGCATATTCTCTGCTGTGAGGAGCATATGTGAACACTCGGGTTAGGAGAATCTCTAGAGCAGTCCTCCTGAAATGATCTGGATATTTTCAGGAGTGTGAATGCGGCTT